GTTTGGATGTTCTTTGTTCCATCTTCCATGTTTGCCCAATGTTATTAACCCAGGATGGTGATGGTAAGAATTGTCAATCCGGCTGGGTCAGGCTGAGAAGACCTAAGCCCAAGGGCTTGAATTCGGATACTGATGATAATGGAAGATTCTTTTAAGGAGATTTGGAAGTTTTCAGGTTTCCACTTAGAGAACGGAATTTGGATAGGGATTAGGGAACCATACATATATAATACGGAGAAGCCTAAACTGCTTATTTCATTCCAAGCTATCAAAATAACTTCCCTTTAAACAAATCATGTTTACTTTTTGGTGATCTTTCTCATATCAGTATCATCAACATCACAGACAAATCTTACTTATTACTATTTCTTCAATTTGCAGAGATAGAATCCCTCATAACCAAAGTAGACCTCAGCAATTGTGAAATGCCACTTCAGAATAAATGGTAAAATCATAACTTTACATTATAAACTCTTAATTATATGATCAACATGTTATTTGCTCAAAAAAGCCATATAGCTTAAAAGTGTTTTTACTCTGTACCAGATGTTCAAGTCCTACAAAATATTCTTCTATCCATTGCTGATTTTCTTCTTCTAGCTTCCCTTCTCAATTTGGCGCTTTGGTTCAATTGTAATTTTAGCATGGCAAACAGCAAGAAAACAAGGATTATCTAGGACTATCTTTGGCTGGTATTGACAGACTAAACTCGTATTTTCTCTTTCAATTTAATACCTCTATTGAAAAAAAAAATCTAGGTACTCTAGCTTTGGTTTAAAGTTTAAACACTAGTTTGGAGAATTGGGTGTCAACTGCATGCCAAACATGGAAATTTCATTCACTTACAAGAGTCTGTGCACCATTTCTTTTTGGAATCCTCCATATTAGAGGTGCAAATCGGGTTCCCAATTTGAAGAATTTAAAGAACATTGAGCTTGTCTCAGACTCAGGCCATCCAAAATTTAACAAATCCTCAACCCAACCCAACTTGAATCCCTAATCCAAATGGACTATTCATTAATGACAATCTCTTTTACTGAGTTTCAATAGGCTTTCTCTGTTGATTTGACATTTGTTTCACGCCAACAGAGAGCTAAAGTTACACAACTATAGAAATATGAAAGGCCAGTAAGTAAGAATTTCTTTGCAGGATTTAAGTTGTAATTTGGTTGTTTCTGTTATTTATTGGATATATATCCTAAATAATACCAATAAATCATTGGTATGGAAATGGAATGATTAATTTATCAATGGTTTGGACTCTGTTTTCTTTGAATAACTACTGTATTACTTTTCATTGAATTTCTGTACTGTCAAATCATGGTATTGGAAGTTGGTGGGCTAAAGTTGTTTTGCATTTCTATTAATTGTCAACATAGGAGGATTCACCAACTTTGATATGCTTGTCTTTTTGTGGAGACCTTGCACTAAAGAATCACAATAACTGAATTGTCATGCAACTTTAATCCTTGGATAAACTTTCCTCTTATAAAGTTTATAGAGGCCTCAAGTTACGAAGGATATATACAAGAGGAACACATTAATGTTGCAAATTGCCCCATTGCCGGTATTATTTTCTTAGACCAGAATCAACCTTTATGTCATTCAGATCAGTACTCACTAGAATAATCATTAAACTAAGGCCCATTCATTTTTCGGGAAATAGGAGGGGAGAAAGTTGGTCAGTAGGAAAGTGATTTTTATTGATCAACTTTCTTGTATTCTTCTTTTGTGGATCTCATGGTTAAATTATTTTTTCTGGGTATCATTTATCTAGTAAGTGATATCTATTTCCTATGTAGGTAAATAAAATTCTAATCTGGGAAAAAGTTTATAAAACATATTGGGATTTGGGACAAGTTCCACTATTAGTTTTTTATAGATAAAAAAGTCATTGTATAGCTTATTTGAGAATCAAAAAGAACATGGGTAAGTGATCATTTACTGGGCAAGTGGCTTCTTGAGAAACAAATGGAGCCTAAGGGTAAAATACTATACTGTACTTTGGGGGGAGTGGTAATTGTCCCCTTAAACTTTCATTCGTGACAAAGACCAACCCCCCCCNCCAAGCTTTCAGATTCCAACTAAGACCCCTTTTGTTAGCATTTTGCCAACTAAGACCCCATATAAACCAAATAAACGAGAGAATAGATCATTTCAAGGGATTTTGATTCTTATTCCAACTACAAACCAAACAGACCCTACAATATATATTGGGGTATGCTTGGAAGTTAGAACATAGAAACACCACAAAACAGTATTAAGTTTTTGCTGTCATGTGAAAATCAAATATATCCCAGGGTGCTCATGAAAAACTAAAACCTAAACAAAACCAATAATTCGAACCAGTATGGTTAGTTTCAATTAACCTATTAAAAATTGCAGTTAATTGAACTGACCGATTGATTACATTGAGTTCGTTGCTGACTTGCAGATACCAAGTCTACCATGCATTGCCATATAGGCTAGAGAAAGAAGAGAATTATACAAGGCTTTTCTGTATTTTGACAAGAAAGGAAACGAGATAGTATTTAATTTTTGCTGGAGTAGACTGGAGAATAATTTTTGCTGGTTTGCCTACTAGCTCTGGAGGTTGAATCTTGGATCGTTGCTCAAGAAAAGTAGATGACTAATTGGATGCTTCTGGGATTTGTATCACCCACTTAGTGAAGTTTGGAATATATGGTCCTTAGTCCTTACACTTGATCAAATTTCTAGGTGTTATACCAATCATACCAGTAGTGAATAGAAATTATCTATTCAAGCTAAGACTTGATTGAGAAGGACCATTGTATTTTTATGTTTGAATCAAGATGACTCGATGGAATACTTGACAAAATAGACCGAAAGGTGAGAACATTTAAACCGTGTTCTGATTGGAGCATAAAAAGAAAATCAGGATGGAAAAGGATCCCCAAATCTGCTTCTTAAGCACTCTGTTTTTCGGCTCCAAAAAATGAGTCACGTGGAATCCAGAGTACCTGTTCTTTTGCTGCACTTTTAAACCTTTTGGCCGTATTGACCATGTATCAGCAGTCGATACATAAGATACATTGTCTGGGAGAAATTTTTTAACCTCCTTTCAGCCATTGAGTCCTTAGCCACCCCTTGCTTAGCTAACCCATCAGCCATTGAGTTAGCAATTCTCTTTACCCAGCTGTATTGCACCTCAAAGTCCTTACACAGTCAATTAAATTCTGATATGTCCTTTCAGCCACCTAATCACCACCTTTGAATCCCCCTCAATCACTAAGCGTCTAATGCTTAATTCTCTTGTTCTTCAATTGGCCCAGAGAACATGGCAGTAATATACCCCTCCTCATTCCTGAAAACACCCCCTATCTCAGAGGGCCCTGGATTCCTGAAAACCTCCTTGAGGCTTTTAACCAATATGAAAACCTTCTCTTTGTTTTAACCTGACCCTTGAATATTCCCTATCAAAGGATTCCCACCATGGTTTTTAAAAATGAATCGGTCAAGGGTCTGGTTACCAGTTCGAACGGTCCAACCGTTCAACCCGAACGGCCGGCCCGTTTTAACAAAAAAATTTAAAAAATTGGAAAACAGTCAAAACCGTTCGAACGATTAACCGGCCGGTTCAATGGTTTGCTGACCAAAATCAATGGTTTTAGGGGAAAAAACAATTTTGGGCGAAAACGGAACCGGTCAGGTGATCGGTACCCTTTTTCTGGTCCAACCATCCAAGTCCGGTCCGGTTTAAAAACTATGATTCCCACTGTTAATTTTGACAGAGCAAGAAAAATATCAAAAACACTCTTACGAGAATTGGGACCTGCTCCTCACAGAGGGCACCTCACATCGATCTCACAGTCACATCCTACCCTATATTGAAAACATCTCCCATGAATAATAAATACAAGTACAGGAGATGTTGGACATAATGTGAGATCATTGTGAGACGCACTCTGTAAGAAGCAGATCCGAACTCCTATTACGGGATTTTAGATGTTTGAATATGATACCAAAGCCCATCCTTGTATGATGCTATTCATGGTGAGATATTCTCAATACAGGGTGGGATGTGATGCAAGGTCAGTGTCAGGAGCGCTCTGTGAGGAACAAATCCCGGTTCAACCCAATAAATGATATACTTCATGGGTGAACCACCTGGCTGTTGACATGGCCAAGTTATTAGAGATCAAAATCATTCATATTGAGCTCCTCTAATAAAATCATATAATATTAAATACTATATTATATTTTTATATCTAAAATTTTAAAGATATTAGGCACAAGGCTGGACAATTATCACCCTAATTTCTTCTATTTTATTGTTTTTCCAAATTAATACTTGCCACACGTTTGGTTCAAAACATCGATACACACCGATAATGCCAGATAGTGTGTATCAGTCACGCAGGGCTTTGAAAAAAATAACAAGTCAAAAAAATAAATCATAGGATTGATCTTAGGCCGGACTACTCCCTGAAATTGGTTAAAACCAAAAGGCCTCGTATTTGAGCTATCGGGGGCTTGTTTGTATCAAAATTTTGAACCTTGCTTAGGGCTATTATCCACTCAAGTTCCAGCACTTAGGCTTCATTTAGCATTCCTTATTTTAAGGACTAATCTCCGTTTTGCTGTTAAAATGCCCCTATGAACACTGAGTTTTTAACTGCAAGAAGGAAATAAGTGCTTAAAATAAGGAATGCCAAATGCAGCCTTAAAATTTCTAATGTTTCATTTTCAAGCAAAATATGCAAGTCTTTTCTTAAACCACCTTATATTTTCAAATCCCTTCTTGATGATGACCCTGACTTTGTATTATACTGGCAACAATTACCTTTGTTCAAATCAAATATTATGAAATTTCAATAATACCACAGCAGAAAAATACCCACTGTCAACAGTGGTCACTGGTCAAGGTTCAGGTATTGTTGTTTCCCTCATTTTGATTTTTGAGTATTCTAACCTTTCCTCCTATTGATGATAAAATAAACAAAGATGAAATCAAAATCAATGGAAAGAAAAAAAAAGTTGAGAAAAATGATAAATATAACCTTAGCCCGCTTTTGATGTTCTTGCAACAGGTGGGAGGTAAACCGAGTTAAGGTCCCCAGGATAAGGAGTCCACAAACCTAAGCCCCCCCTGCTTTCTTTCAACCCACTACTATTCCCCTTAAATTCATCCAGGGATTTTACCCACTCTACAACAGATGAATGCTCCCGGGTATGTGGATGCAACACAAACAACGAATTGTACTCACAATTGGGAAACATATAGATATTGAACGAACTCCCTAACCTGTACACAACATAACCAAAGCTCAGCTGGTCTCTTGGTGTGAAGAGGTTGACCTCGTTGAACCACAGGCAGCTAAACAAGTTGTTGATAGCAGTATGCTCCCGTATTATAATGGCTCCCTCAGGCACATCTGCATTGTATCAGTTGTTACCATTAACATGAAATACAAAGAAAAACACCACAAATACAAGCTTTTGTCTGAGCTAATATTTCCTCTTTTCTTCTTTTTGGGGTTGTCTCTGTGTCTCTGTATGACTGTACATATGTGTCTTTTTCTTTTTTTCTTTTCTTGTCTTTTCTTTTTTTTTTTAATTTTACTGAAATCCAGTTGAAAACAGAATTAGATAGCAAGCCACAACCAACAGATAGACTTTATATGTCATGCTCCTCCAACCATGAAATGATGTATGGAATTGTCATAAACCAATGGAAACAATTCGTTTTGGACTAGAATCTCCCTTATAGAAGCCACTTTTTAATGTGTCCAACTACCAATCTCTTAATTAAACAACATTCTTGGCTGCAATAATGACGACGCAGGTTTTATATCCTGTCTTATAGAAGAAATAGAAAAAGGAATTGCAGTAAAGAAACATAATCTGTTTGGGAGTTGCTTTTTTCTTACCACTGACTGTCCTTTTCTTTGGGCTCCATGGTTCCATTCCCTCATAGCGGTATATTTTCATGTGGAGATCAATAAGAGGACGGGCATAACGCTTCCTCCGTTTGATAGCATCAGCCTCCTCATATATACTGCGATGGTGTTTGTGGCGAGCAATAGCAAATGTGTGCTTTCCACGCCATAGATATCTGCAAATTACAAGATAATTAATGATTTTTACAAGATAAATTAATGATTTTAATATGTCATTCTCCCAATAGCTTTTCAGAATGAGTGGTGCACACCCTTATCCTGAAGACCTCCTTAAGCCAAAAATCAATCTGGTGAAATGTTGCTACCAAAAACCATAGCAGTCAATGAATTCTCTGAAAATATTGTGGCAGAAAAGCTCAAGATCAACGGTAACACTGAAGAAAGTTCCCAATCATAAAGTTTTTCCCTTACTTGATACCCCATATTAATTACTTCTATGGTCTCACCTCAAGAAATGCATTAAATTTATTTTGTATACAGAAAACAGGAGCAAAAGTGGAACTTGACCAATAAGACTCAAAATAAAGAAACATCTACACCCAAATCAGTAGGACCCACCTTTCTAGCATAAGCAAAGGATCAACTATTAGCTCCATTTTTCCATCAATCCAGATACTGTATTGTGCTTGAGGAAACAGCCGATGGGTTAAAATCTTAGGAACTTTCCCATTTCTTCGGGGCTCATCATAAGGTGGATGGTGTAGTAGCACAAGGCGCCAAATACCAACCCACTTCCCCCCCTGATGATCCTCTCTCATTGTGACATTTTTCTTGATGAAGTTGAAAGACTTCTCATCAACAACCATAAGAAAGCAGAATAGATTTTGAGATCGATGGCTTATATTTGAAGGCTGGTGTGGCGTATCATATCCATCAAAAATACCTGATGCAACAACAAACCTACACTTCTTGACATATTCAACATCTACAGGCTCCATCTCTGCACCTCCATTGCGCATAAAGCCACAGTGCACCTGAAGGTCAGAACACAAGATCAACAAACTAAACAAATCCAAGTTAATGCAAAAATCATGATCAGAGAAGCTTGTTATTTGATTTATATTTTATACAGAAACAATGACAAGTCTAAGATCAATTAGGGTCCATCCTCAATGAATGATGACCAAGAAATAATGAATCAAAAGACCAGACAACTCACTCAATGGACCACCCCTTGGATGGAACTACTAGTTGGTTGAAAAGTGTTTATGTCTTCATGATCAAATTTTGCCCTGATTTTTTAACAAACACCATACCTAGAAGGCCAAACTGATGCCCATAAAGTATCAAAGTTGTTCCAAAATTGATGATAGCTTCATCCACTTGTTCCAGAAATAGTCAAACCAAACTCTAGAACTGAGTTCTAACCTTTTCAAAGAGATTGGAAGCCATAACTTCAAGTAATGTTACAGTATAGCTTTTCATTGTGTTGTGAACTTTTTCCGGTCAGTAAATAAATAAATGAGAGAACATAATTTGTAAAGCATATCCAACATTTGAGAATTTCTTGTACCTGGAGCTTTGGGACTGTTCTAACACAATCTATACTGTTATTGATAAAAAACATAGTATATATTATTAAATGTTATTAGTTCAATTTACCATCACTCAGGTATGGAGTTGCTTTTCAACGCATTCAAGAACAAGGTAAGAGATTCTTGCAAATGATCCTATAACACCAATACCATTACCAAGAATTCTAGGGGGGGGGGGGAGCTTGGGTCAACTGACAACTGACCAAATGTGTGAGGCATGAATCATGACAATTAGTGTCAAAGAAGCAGAATGATATCTTTGCACTGATATCCCTCAAACCATAAATTTATTTTTCAATCATAATTGGAAACTGTGGTACAAGAGTTAAAACTCAATTTAACAAACATTTGTCCCAACTATATGGGGTAAGTTACATGAATCCTGCTTTGTCATTCCACTCTGTTAGGTGCTATATCCATTGTTAAATTATGGATCCCACAGATCACTTGTTGCTACTTAAACGCATGTCCATTTTAGCCTGCCCTTTGTGATACTAGACTCTTCAACTTGCAACAAGTTACCTCTTACTGGTGCTATAGATGATTTTCTTTGCACATGACCATACCATCTTACCCTGCAACTTCATTTTATTACCTATCAGGGATACTCCTATATTCCCATGAATTGCTTATTTATGATCCATCTTTACTAGTTTTCCTATTCATCAAATCTCAGCATTCACATCTCTTCTATGCGAATTTTATGGACATGTTGTTTCTTGATTGTCCAACACTTGCCCCATATGATATAACATTGCCGGCCTAACATAGCCATTTTATGAACTTTTCTTAAAACATGAAAGCTAAGAATAAGAACTTTCTTTTTCTAGTGGTAACAGTATTAGGGTTTCTCTTCCCACAGAAGTCTAATCAAGGTAAATTCTGTAAGTAACACATTCATCCATAGTGTTTGAGAGAGAAAGAGAGAGCCTGGACTACTTCATGTCTCTGCTTAGATCCAGGTGGCATGCCTCGGGCGTTTTTTCATCACACCAAGAGGCAAGATAATGTGGAGGAGCACCAAGCTGCAAAATCCCAAGTTCTGAGATATGTTGCTATTTCCATAGATGGCCAAGTTAGCAATGGATTTTTTTTATGCAAGGAAAGGTTATATAAATGAGGATAAACACAATAAAGAGGAGGGTCTCTCCACAATAAATCTTCCCAAAACTTCAGCCTGTTGCCGCATTGGAGGCCATATCTAATATGTCGAGAAAAAGTGACTAAGACGGTCATGGTTGCTTTCCAAGGACTCCTATAGGTGAGATTCATAGAAGTTCCAGAATCCTACCCATGAGAACACAAGACATGCATGCTTTTAATTACCAAATGCTACAAAGAATTGTTCTCAATGGGAAACCTCCATAAACATTTTTCCCAACAAAGAAGTATTTCTATCCCTTAGTCGTCAAATCCCCAAACCCCCTTTTTCCTTACTATTTATTACTTTATTCCAATTCAACAGGTGATGATCCTTCTTGTCATTCCCCAGGTCCCAAAAGAAGTCCCTAATGATTTTTTCAATTTTATTTATCACTTTGGTTGGGGCTCTAAACACTAAAAAGAAATACACTGGAAGATTAGATAAAGTAAAATTGATGAGTCAACCTACCTCACATGGAGATGTAATTTTTCTTCTAAATCACCAGTTTTTTTTAAATTTTTCAATTATCTCTTCCCAAAAGACTAGCCTTGACTCTCTCTCCACAATATCTAGAATTCCTTTCACAACTATGAAATCTTGAGAACCTCTAAACTCTCCCATAATGATGGTTTCATCTGCAAGTTGCAAACGAGAAGCCACCTTATATTTTCTAACCACTCTCAGCCCCCTGTCAAATGTCATTAAGCATTCTTGATAAATTGTTAGCAAATCATATGAATATCAAACGCATGAAGAAAATTTATAAGCTAACAAAGCAAAGCTTTTGCATCAAGAGATTAGCTTACCTTCATGGTCGAGTTCAGCTTAAAACTTTGTTCTCTCTGTGACCAGCTTTGATGCCCTCCAAATAGTGGGAATGACAGAGAATCATTATTTACAGACTCATCCTCTAAAATATAGGACAAATGTTGGACAATTTTGTCAGATGTTCTTTCCTTTGGGATAACTATTGCATCAGGATCATCCTGAAGGGGAACTGGACAACCTGAAATTAACACACAGAACATTAGATGACTATAATTTTACAGAAAAAATCTCAGTAGCAAAGAAATGCATATAATCTTACGGTGTTGTGGTTTTGGTAGAAACCCCATTGTGTCCAACATCATAAATACCTTACTTTCTTTGTTACAAATAGCTGTAAAACAAAACCAAACAAAAAAAATTTGCAAGACCATGTCAGCCTACTGAGCCCAGGAAAACAACATTCATATAAATCACTGTCACTAATATCATTTAGGAAGTCCGGAACTCCAGTATGAATGACCAAATAAGACCTACCTGACGTCAATGCTTGATTGCATGTTGCTTCATATTGAATAGAACTGGACACCTAGTGACCAAATTGGTTTCTTATTAAATATTTTTTATCATAGGTAAGTCGACCTAAAAAGCCTGTGTAATGGGACTGTAGGGACATAGATTACATCTTACAGCTGACAAAATACAATAAACATAGCTAACAAAACGGCCCTTCATTTGGTCTCACAAGCCTAGTGCCTGCCCATGATAACTTTGTCATTCCTACCTCCCTTCCCTACCAAAGAATCAGCTAACTCACCAGATCATTAGAGTGGAGATAAAATAGCATTTAAAGGACAGTTTCATATTGTTGGTACACACATACTGGATGGTTTAAATAGGGCCATCCCTATATTAAAGTAGGCCTAGAAATTTTTAGGAATAAATTATTTCAAAAAGTAGGCCAAGAAAATCAAGATTTTTTTTTTAATTTTTTTGATCAATAACAGAATATCAAGCTTTTAGACCAAGGACCATAGGTTAGAAATCTCCTAAAGGAATAACCAATGCAATTATAGAATCATAGCAATGACAAGTTTGATGCAGAATCATAGCAAAGGGGAGAGAGAGAGAGGGAGAAAGAGAGAGAGAGAGAGAGAGAGAGAGAGAAGGGGGGACATCTATGGGAAAATAAGTATTAGCAATGCTAAATCCAAATCTGGGCATGATAAATAGAGTTCTATGGATGATAACTAAAACCTCTAAGAAAAGGGTCGAGCTCATTTATGGATCTTCAAGCAAATGATCTCAATCTTGATATCAGGAATTACAAAGCTTGGAAAAACAAGATTGATGTCAAGAATTCTATAGAGTTCCTTAAAATACAACTATGGATATAGTAGCAGCTGTAGTTAGAGCACAAACGCCAAGAAGAATGAAACAACATGGCAAAGATGCCTAACATGGAGAAAAAATACATAACTCTACTTGGTCACTGCTCATTGTTAAAACTACAGCTCATGCTGCTGGAGAGGTGGATGGTTATTGAAGACTAATGAACTTTGTTGCCTATATCATGGGTTGTTACAATTTACAATTGACTTTTGTACAGACTTTGTTGCCTATTGCTTTCCCATGTTTATTAGTTTATTAAAGACTAACAAATTTTGTTGCCCATATCAATATCATTTTGCCTTATTTTTGTATGTCTTGAAAAGCAACTAGAATTCCTGATATTGATATTGTTTTTTCCATGTAGCTTTTACTTTTATCATGTTCAAAGACTGAACTTCATTTCTCCAATGCCAAGAATTTATACAAAAGTAAATTGTAACAAGCATAACTGTAAACATACATATACAAAATTTCAAATAATTGGCATGAATAACTTAATTCACATTACCTGAAAAAAAAGTTATAGAAGATTGGCAAGACCATATGTGAAATAACAATACTGTAAGGATGAGAAGCATCCACAATATGCCAATGACAAGCACTAAGCGTACGAAACCCCTCTTCCAAACAACCTTCATTGCATAATCTTGTGACATCCCCTCAGGAGAACAAAAACTACCTTCAACATATACATTCAGAAGCCAGAAAAGAGTTAGCTTATGTATTGACCCATTACAGCATAAGAAAGCCAGTACGGACCCCAAAACCTATGAAAAGACATTCTTACCTTTAGTCTTCCGACTTTGATTGCTCCGGTCTCCTCTGCGGTTTACCCGTAAAGAGACAGAACGTTGGACTTCGTTATCCATAATTATATCTTTGATTGAACTTCAATGTTCATAATTACTTCTTTAGATATATCATATTTTCCAGCAGAACTGAATTCAACAATCAAAATGAAAAGCATTCAATAGAAACATATTAGGTAATTGAATCTATAAGCAGAAAATGAACAAAAGAAAATAATGAGAGTAGATACAATGTATAAAATTGTATAAAATTCATATTAAGCTATGATGTGGGGCTACACTTCTAGGGAAAAGCACATTTAATGCTGCTTCTGCAAGTCTATAACAAGTAAACAAAATGAAACTGAAGAGAAAAACACATTTAATCCTGTTTCTGTAAGCCTATAACAAGTAAACAAAAAGAATCTGAAGAGAAAAACACATTTAATGCTGTTTGGCAGCATGCTCCAGCATAAGCAACAAGTGCCAAAGTCAACAGCTGGCTGGGTCATAATCCATTGGAGAAGGAAAAACTGGAATTACTCTTAATCCATTGTAAATTTGTATATACAATACTCAAGTTAGCAAATCATGTCTGCATTTTCAATGTCTCTTAGGAGTGGAATGTATATTTTGTTCTGATTGTACACCACATACAAGGCCAGAGGAGATATTAGATGTTCTGATTGTGTATCATTAGATTTGAAGCCTTTTATGTTCTGAATCTTGTTTTCTCAAATCGTAAAATTCATTAGAGAATGAGGGAAAGGGTGGCAAACAATGATATCATTTTTGAGAAAACAAACAGCGATTTCATTGTTGTAAAGATTTTATGATCCCAGATCAAATCACATTAATCTAGGTTCTATAGTCTAGATGGAATTAGGTTCTAAAGTTTCAGTTGAAATGATTGTGAGAAAAAAATGGGTCTTGTGAGCCAGGAACCTGCTTTAGTAACTTAAATTAGGGAGATGCAATTCGGCAGGGTCCACCCATTGAGCTAATTTTATCTCTTGCCTCCGAAATTACTACCGTAAAAACCACGGTTGTTCAAAAGTTTCTTGTAAGTTGACGGTTGCCATTGGAGATTTAAGATTACTCTCTGTCTCTGATGTGTTCTCAAACTTAAATCTCTGCTCACTATTTTCTCTTATCACTTATTTAAATTCTAAAATGAATGAAGAATAAAAAGGACGAAACACAAACCACTTGCAAATCAGCACAAATTTCAATTGTAAAAAAGACATCTTTGCTTCATTCATCAAAACCACTTTTTTCTAAACACTTATTTCTCACAAATGAAATAACCCGTTTACAACAGAATCCAACATACACATGGAAAAAGAGGAAAGAGGAAATCCTAAACACAGATAGGATACCAATCGACAAACCAAGACTCTCAAACTCTCAATCAAAAATCAACTCCATTATTTCCTTCACACGACAATGACGCTTCTGAATGCTTCATTCTTCAACTAGAACCAAAAGAAACAAACAAGAAAACAAAGGCAACTTGGAGTCTTGCTTTGAAATGAATAATTTATTAAGTTTTTGTTTTAAAGAATTAATTAAATTGAATCTGAAACAGACAGAACCAAGAAACTGGATTACCTCTTTTGTTGATCTGAAAGGGAGATCGACGCTAATAGCGCTTTGTTCCACCGAGAAATAATGAGAACTGCCAAATAATAAATCTGAGAGGTATTACTTCAATGGAGACTTGGAGCAGAAGAAGATTCGTCGGTGGTGTTAAAAGATCGCTTCAATGGCGACTTGGAGAGGAAGAGGAATTTAAGGCGTTGAACCTTGCTTCAATAGCTGAGAGGAGAAGTTGAAGCCTCATCAACAGAGGCGACTAATGGAGATTTGGAAGGGATAAGGGCTGTCGGTGGTGCTGAAGGTTGCTTCAATGGCGACTTTGGGGATTGGAGCTGAATAAGAAAACTGAAAGCGTTACAGGATTGCAGCGAGTAGCGAATCGACCCGCTACTTAGATGGGTGGGTCTGGGCGTGCTTCAAATGATTCGGGTCGACGAACCCGGATGTCGTGAAACTCCACGCACATAGCATCCAGAAACATATTAAGAATATCTTCCGTACAGTATGTTAAATCATGAGGGATGTTCCTCATGTGCGGCTGAAATTGTTTTTTGAGAATGTGTGGAATGATTTTGTTCACAGGGAATCCCGTTGCCCCTTACTCAGATGTAGCCTCATAAATGATCATGATTGAATATTGACGGGACCCAATGTGAAAATGAAATATGATCCATTTATGGTTCAACTCATTTTAAGATATTTTATAAGGTTTTAAGGTAAAGGTGGAGGCAATGGCGTAGTTAATTATTTTTTCGGAGAGGTCATTCAATAGCTTGTATTAAAAATATTTATGGTTTTACTAAAAGTAATAAAAATAATTTAAAATATTACTTCAGCATAAAATAATAATTGTCATTTTACAATTGTCCTCCATGATTGTATATTATAAAGCAAAAAATCTAGATATAACTACGGGTGTCAATTGGACTTGATTTTCGATGTGAGTTTATAATAAATAGACTAGATCTAATCCAAATGATGTTGAGCGATCTAGTTGTTTCCTTTTGGAGGTGATTTGGCTTTCAGACGAACGATGGACTAAGTTGTTATGCAAAAGCAGGATTAGAAAATTCGGGGTGCTAGTTCGGTGAGGTTGTTTCGATATTTAAGTTAGTATATTTATTGCGAGCTGAAATAGCTTAAGAATGCAGAGAGTTAGAGAGCATAGAAATCACACATACCTTGAACATTCAGGGGTGGAGCCTTTATATAGTCGAGTCATTGCGGGTTTCACGGATCAGTTTCGGGATCTTTGTCACGATAGGACCCGTTTCCATGTTAGTTGGAAGATAACGCTGCTAACCGATAAGGTTCATCACTTCCGCCCGAATCGGTCGGGGAGATAATGCTAGCTGTTACGCGGCGTGATCCCGTGAGGCCCAGGATCCGTTGGAGGGGTTTTCGGGATCACCACGTAGTGGCATGTCGGTATCACCGAACTGATGTCTTTAAGTCCCGAACTGGGTTGAGTGCCGAAGTGTCTTGGCATTGAGGTGTACTTGTTGCGATCTGGTACCGAGGCGACTTTAGCCCAGGATGGTTGAGTACCCGAGCTTGATCTGCTGTGGACTGGTCATGATAAGTTGAGTTGTCATCTCTTGATCAGGTCGTGTCCACTTGTCCCCTCTTTACTAGGTCGGGCCAAATCACCCTTCATCAATCCCCCCACTCCCCGAGCCAGGGGTCCCGACCCGGTGCGGGGAGTTCATGACAAGACAAATGGATTTGGCCCGAGGTCCAGGCGGCTTGTCGGACGAATCATTGGTCGGACCTATTCAGCTATCCGGCTCGACCAGGAATAACCCAGGTCGCGTATGGTTTACGCGCGGACGTCACGCGATCTATAAACTCCGCGGACGTCAAAAAACGCGCTAAACCGATTTCAACCTCGGGGATCGCGCAGCCGGTTTTCTCAGGAGCCGTTGGATTGCTTCAATCTTGACCGTTGATTTTCGAACATACCGACTATAAATAGGGGGCCCAAGACTCATTTGCTTCTTCACAAATTCACAAATCTTCGTTCTGAGGTCGCGTTCAAGCTTCTTAGCTCGGTTTCTCTAGTCCGGTGTCTTCTTTCAGTTTGCTCTTCTTCTTGGTGAGTCTTCCCTAGCTTTCCTTTCTGATTCAGTTCTTTTTTCATGTCTAGTTTTAGCTTCGCGTTGAGAGGTGTGTAGCTCGTTTGTTCAACTGGCGGAGTTTGGGAACGCCAACCCGACCTGTGAGATTGTGAAGGAGATCGGCTCTCGAACTTGTTTCCTCCCCTAGTTGGGGACTTGCTCTTTCTTCGCTTGTTGCCACCGTTACCTGTGTCGTCACCTTCTCTTTTCCTTTTTTTCTGCTGGATTCTCAGTCTTTTGGTTCATCTCTTCCTCGGTCCCGATGAATTGATCGGCAAGCTTGAAGAATTCTGTGATGTCCTTCGGCTTATTGGCCACCACATGCCACTTAAATTCTCTGTGTGTTATACATTTCTTCGCAACAGTGAGCCTCACTACTGGATCTAGATTAGGGATCTGCAAGCAGGTGTCGTTGAAGTGTTTGATGTAGCTTCTAATCGACTCCCCTTCTCTCTAAACTATGTTTGGGAGGCTTTCTTGGGACCTCGGACACTTCTTGCTGGTGATGAAGTGCGAGGTGAATAACTCTACGAACTGTGCCCAACTTCTGATCGTCCCTAGCGCGAGGTTCCTGTGCCACGTGCGAGCTACTCTTTTAAATTGTTGTGGAGAAGGCTATGCACATGCAAGACTCATCAGCCCCAGCTAGGTGCATCTGAAACTGGAAGGAGTCTACCTGATCACTTGGATCGAAAGATCTGTCATACTTGTCCAGAGGAGGCATTTTAAAATCTTTTGGCATAGAGGACGCCAGGAGCTCGGAGGATAGAGGAGACAACCCGGACAGGAGAGGAGCAGTCTTTGTGGCCGTTGAGCTCGCCTCCTCTTTACCTTTCACTTACTCTGGTGGCTGGGAATGGCGAGCTGGCTACAAGCTGTTGTTCGTTGTGCCTTGTGACGCTTTTTGTTGCTGCTTCTTGACCGGCTCCACATTAGTGTTGCTGACTTCCATATGATTTGGTACCGTTCTGGCGTGGAGTGGCTCTGGGTGTTGAGCCTAGCTACCATGAATGGATGAGCTTTGTTTTGAGTCCGCGGCCAGGGGCCCGAACCGGTTGCCTGTGAGCGAGCCCTCTTGATGAGAAGGCTGAGGTAACATTGCCCTGGCGGGCTGAGTGTCTCCCGATCTTTTCAAGTTGCCCTAAGAAGCGGGTGGGGTGACTTGTTTGTCCCTCCTGCTACGAGACGAGACCTGACTCCCAAGAGGAAGTGGGACTTGAGAGGTCTCACCCCGGTGGGGAGAGCGATTCTGCTGACGACGGAGGGGTTGATTCTGTTGCGTTGTCGGGTGCCGAGGTGGAACCGGTTGCGGATTCTGCTATAGCAGAGGGAACTGTTCCTGGTAAAAGTGATGGAGGACTTGTTGTTGATAGTGTTGGAACTGCTGAAACGGTTGGACCTGTTGTATTTGAACCTAAATGGCCCGAACGCAGTGTACCAGGTCATCAAGCTGGGATTGCCCGACTCCAAGGGGAACCACAGCCGATTCAGCGAAGGTCGCGCCAACTACTGGGGGGAGTGGCACGTTTACCTATGTAGTCGCTTGAGGCATGGTCAGCGTTGGGACCCCTGCCGCAGTAAGCGGTATGGTGAACTGACAGATGCAAACAAATGGGAACTGAGGCTGCCCCACGGAGACGTTCGCCTCATTGTTTTGTCCGGCGTTGCTGGAGGAAGCCATGGATTTGATTCTTTTACTGATGGTGGAAAATGCTTTTTGTAGCGCTTCCCACAGACGGCGCCAAATGATGTTGCACGATCTAGCTGCTCCCTGCTGGAGGTGATCTGGCTTCCAAGCGGACGATGGACTAAGTTGGTTTGAAAAGGAGGATCAGAGAACCCGAGGTTGCTAGCCCGACGAGGTCGCTCTGATGCTTAAGTTAGTATACTTGTTGTGATCTGAAATAGCTTAAGAATGCAAAGAGCTAGAGAGCATAGAAAACACACGTACCTTGAACCTCCGGTGGTGGAGCCTTTATATAGTTGAGTCTTCGCGGGTTTCGCGGATCAGTTCCGGGATCTTCGTCACGATAGGACTTGTTTCCGCGTTAGTTGGAAGATAACGCTGCCAACCGATAAGGTTCATCACTTTCGCCCAAATCGGTCGGGGAAATAATGCTAGTTGTTACGCGATGTGATCCCGTGAGGCCCGGATCCGTTGGAGGGGTTTTCAGGATCACCACGTAGTGGCATGTCAGTTTCCCCGAACTGATATCTTTAAGTCCCGAACTGGGTTGAGTGCCGAAGTGCCTTGGCATCGAGGTGTTCTTGTTGCAATTTGGTACCGAGGCGATCCCGTCTCGAGGTGGCCTTGTCCCGAGGTCACTTTAGCCCGGGATGGTTGGGTACCCGAGCTCAATTTGTTGTGGATTGGTCATGAAAGATGAGTTGTCATCTGTTGATCAGGTCGTGTCCACGTGTCCCACTCTTTACTAGGTTGGGCCAAATCACCTTCATCACCAATCGTTTCCACAAAAAAAAAAAGTTCAAATTCAATCCAATGAATAGTTTAAATTAATTTGGACCTTTTTAATTCAATATCTAGACTGTTAATCTGTTTAAATTCATTTTTTGATTTAAATTGATTTCAACTCAAACCCGGTCCATTGACACATATATTCTTATCTTATATTAATGGATCGGATATCGGCTTAATTCAATCATATTCAATATAAATTTATTACAGATAGACCAGGTCCAATCCAATCTAATAAATATTTTGGACCGAATTGATCTAATCCAATATCTTGTTGGTCCGTATAATCCATCCAAATTGATTTTGGAGTAGATGGGGTCCAATCCAAAACCGGTCCATTGACACTCTTAGATATAACCCATAAATATATAATTTTAGAAGGAAAATTTGAAAGCACATCGAATTATTAAGTGAATCATACACAATTATAAATAAGAAAGTTAGAGAAGTTATACTTTTCTTCTTTGTTTTTATATTTGTGATGCTTTCAATTAAAATAATGTGGTAAATGAGTTATTGATTATAACTTTATAACAAGTCTTGCATAAAAAAAATAAGAAAAATTAAATTCAAAATTCATATGCATAAGATATTTGAGAGGCAAGTATTCAATTGGAATGCTAGCTTTCTTTTAAAGCTTTGTCTTTTTTAATTTTTTTCTTATTTAAAGTTAAAACGTGAGGGATTTTGCCTTTATGTTTTTTATAGCCCATGTTTCTTGTCTCTTAATAGGCTAATCCACTCTTTAATATTTAAGATGTTAAATTGACTCCATTCCTTT